ATAATGGCATATACAGTATGTGTCGGGCTATTAGATGGGGAGGAATTAACACAAGTTTAAGCTAACTTAAGCTCTTTAGCCCAACAAAGCTGTCAAATATGGCACCCTTTAATATAATTTTAAATATAGCTTATTCAACTGAAGGCTTAGGCTTCGTTTGGGACGGCTTGCTTATTGCTTCTTAAAAGCAGCTTTTTAGTACAAAAAATTTAATTTTTATACTAAGAAATTTCATTAAGAAGCAATAAGAAAGCCGTTCCAAAACAAAGCCTGAAGCACACCAAAAAAGCAAACTCGGTGGATAGGAAGCTTTAGCTTTCATGTGGGACGGTTTTTTACTGCTTAAGTAGCTTTTTAAGTAACAAATATTAATTTTTGTAATAGAAAGTTGCTTTAAGAAACAGTAAGAAAGCATCTCAAATTAAGCCTTTGTTTTTCTACGCTTTATGCATGAAGCAACTTTCTAGTTACAAAAAACTAAAATTTAAAAATATTTTGTTACTAAAAAAAATGTTTCATAAAAATAAAAAGAAAAGTTGTCCCAAATAAAATCTTAATTTTTTATTTTTGTAAGATTATCGCTTTTAATAATTATTAAAATTTAATTTTAAAAGAACAATATTTATTGTAGTAAATTATAAGCATTTTTCAGGTTAAAATTGTATTTAAGTTATTAAATTAGTTCATTATTAGAACATGATTAATTAATAAAAATAAGTTTAATTCAAAAATTAAATATTATTAGAATATCTTACTTTATAATAATTTTTCTTTTTTCACCAGTGAAATGACTCAACTTTGCTCAAGTCTTAGGCTTTAAATAAATTGTTTTAATTAATTTATCTTGATTTATCTTAATCCCAACCAGAAAAGTCTTAAAGTTGGTGCATTTTAAGGATAATATGTGCAATGTACAAAGACATGTTTTGAACTGTATAAAACATTACTCAATAATTGTCATAGATTACTTCTATAATCTATTGGCTAGGCCATTGATTGCTAAGTTAGGAAAAAATAAATAAAAATCTTCCAAGCTCCCATACTTTGTTAAAAAAATTTATTTATTGGGACATTAGAATGTATTAATTGGCTTCATTTAGGATAATTTTTTTATTACTTTATAAAATATTTTTTAATATAAAATTTATTTATTTTTAAAAATATTAATAAAGTCGTCTCAAAGAAACCTAAAGTTATAATAACCGCTAGGTTTCTTAGCCAACTGGCAGACCCGCATTGGGTACCCATACCCACCCCCACCCACGTACCCACCCATACCCAATGGGCATGGGTGGGTATGGGGTACGCCCATAGCCTCGTGGATGGGTATGGGTGGGTACTCAACATTAGAGGAGAACCAATTTACATTACTAATCATCATATATATGCGGTATATTATAATAAATTAATAATCCTTACTACACAGTGCACAACACTGAACCGCGTCACTACCATGATAAATTTTGATATGTGGCTTGAAAGTTTGCAGTCAGAGAAAATGACAAAAAACCTCAAGGCCATTATTCTATGACAGACTGAATTCAATAAGCTTGGAAAGTGGGTGGGTGTGGGTGGGTATGACATCCGGAAAGTCATCATAGGTGGGTGTGGGTGGGCAAAGCCTGCCAGCGCAAAGCGTGGGTACCCAATGGGTACCCAACCAGGACCCCATGTAGGGCTCTGCAAATCTGCCTATTTTTTCTTGGGTGCAACCTAAAACATCAGGAATGATGCTTAATACCATAATTGTTGCACATCATGATAGGCACAAAAAATGCATACAGATGATTACTGTTAAGCTGTTCTATATTAGTCTACTAAACTAACCTACAACACGATGGGTTAGTTTAATTTAAGGCCTTTCCAAGATGGTATGGTCTGTTGTATTGGAAATAAGGCATATAGATTATAGGGGAGCTGGATATGCATGTCATGCTATAATAAGTGGAAAACAGAAGGTTCGACATCAGTTCAAGTCCTTTTCAAGCCTATGATCCATTGTGTGAGTAATAAAGCATGAAAGAGGTCATCATATTGTCGACCCCTATATGCAAACACATGATGCATGACGTGTTTGTTGAAGGGTTAAACGACCTCCGATTGCCAAACAGATTGGGCCATTGCGATCGGGGCGTCGAATTTGCTTAAGAGGGAACCTCTCGCAGTCAAATAAGACGAGATTGATCAAAATGGACGATTGACACTCAAAGCTGATGCGCAACGTTGTCCAAACAATCTCTGATTGCAAAAAAAATTGTGTCGTTGCAATCGGAATGTCATCAATACCCAAAAATGACTATCAATTTGTTCAACAGCACACAAATTACATACGATGTTGTCCAAACAACGCTCGATCTGAAACAGACTTTGCCATTGCATTTGAAACATCGACAATGCCTATAATCGATTGTAATTTTTCCCATATAAAATCACGCAAAGAAATCGGTGCACATCCTAAGGAAAAAATGCACGAGTTATAAGGAAACGAATGCAACTCGAGCGGTCAATAAACAAGTTTTGAAGCTGGCAATTTTCTCATTAACCTTTATGATTGTATTATTATTATTATTATTATTATTATTATTATTATTAGCTTGGATGCATCAAAGTTCACTCGGAATTCCTACTGAAATATCCCATAAATCCTTCAAATATGCTTATCATTTGGCACTGCCAACGAAGTAATTGATAATTGTAAATAATGATATGTTTTAAATGTTAATTTGTTAGTGAAAATATGCTATTTTCATTTTGTTTGTGTAGGAAACATAAAAAATATATGGGAAAAAATTTCAAGCATGGCATAGCACCGCGACGTCGGATATAATACCGCCGCGGTGCCATCATTGACATTTCCGGAGCACCCAAATATGGACATGCCAGTGCCTAGTCACTATTTGACAGCACCGCATTGTCGGAGGAGACAGAGCTGCAAAGCCTAGCCAACTATCCCATAGCCATAGCATCGAAGGAGTCAACACCACATAACCTTGTTTCTGTCTGCATAGTGTTGGTGCTAAATTCCAGCGCTACTAAATCAAGGGCGTACCACATGGATGTCGCAGTGCTCAATCATCAGCAGTACGATACTGCAGTTATAACTGTTGAGGCCACAATCTGCCAGTGAAGCAACGGGTTGATTCTTTAAACAATGAATCCATGTCAGCAAGTGCCACAGCAGAGGAAACCCTTCACCGCTGCAATATTAGTTCATTTTATGGGTGCCTTGATGCAAGTGTTCTGAGCACCATAGAGCCATAATTTGTTTTCTGTGTTTTTTTCTATAAATAGACTATTTTTCATATTAGTAGTGGAGTTCAGTCATTTTTTTAATTTTAGTCTTTATAGCGCTTCTCCGATTTTTCATTAGGAGTGACAACTAAGAGAATTCATAGAAGTACTAGATACATTCTATTAGAGTGTTTAGCTTGTGTTGTGGAAGAAATTCTATAAGTTCAAGGAGGAGAGTAGAGAAGATCAATGAACACATCCGGTTATATATATTTTTTCTATACTCTCTTTCTTTTGTCAATAAATAAAAATAAATATGCTTTACTTGTTTTTAATGTCTAGTTAAATTCACTTGTTTTTAATTATTGGTGAAAATAAAATACGGATTACTAATGTGTTTTATTCATCAATAATTTCATGATGTTTTCAATATACCATATCTTCATTTGATGCACATAGTATCCATATGAGTAGTTAGTATCAGGTGTAATGTGGAGCCTAAGAATAGAAAAGCATACACAACTTTGTATATTAGATTGATATGATGAAAGCATAGGCATAGTGATTGTAAAGTATTCAATTTATAGAGATGAGTTTTTGTAAGGGGTTTTAACAGTACATGATTTACTTACTCTTTTAAGATTTTTATAGGGTGACAGGCTATGAGAGTTTAGAGGAGTATTGGGGTTGAAAAAGTTTAATCTGTCATTTGTCTCTTCATGCTTGACTGAGTGATCGATTATGCATATACTCTAAATAGTATCATTATAAAAGAGAATCTTTAGAAAATATATTATATATATTTACATTCCATCAATTCAAAATAATTAATCCATATAGTATTTTTTTTAATTATTGTTGATTTTAAATTAAGTGATTGAATCTCTACCAAATTTTATTTTAATTGAGTAGGATAGATATTTTAGTTGAAGTAAACAGTACTAGTATTTATAAATAAACATTCTTCCTCGTAGGATTGATACTCTTCTTTATCATTATAGTACTTAATTCAGCATGTATACTTGCATATATTAAGTGGAATTTTTATTATTTTTATATCAAAGAAAACTTAAGCATTGCTTAGAGATTGATAGAGCCCTAAAATATTTTTACAAATCTTTACATTACTCTACAGCTAGCCCCCATCAAATTTTTGGGGCCATTGTCGTGGAAGAATTTATTTTATTTATAAATTTATTATATTGTTGAATCAATTGCATAATTAGTTCTACTATATTCTTTTATTCCTTTATTTTAATTTATTAATTGCATATCTATGGTTGTTGCTTATAAGACATAGAGGAGAGGCATATTTAAATTTTGATTCTAAAATTGATTGAACCATTTCTAAAATTAGGCTCACCAAAAAAATTTTTAAAATGGTCAACCCTGTTCAAAACTTAGATTATTCTAGACCTATTAAGAATTTTGTAACCCTTTAGTACATTGAATTTGCCAAAGCATAAATAGACTCGCCATCCAAGAAAATAATTTTGAGTTAAAAGCTACAATAATTAAGATGGTATAAAATTTTCAGTTTGGAGGAACTCTCATTGAATACCTTAACATACATTTAGCAACTTTTTAGAAATTTGTGCATATTTAAGTATAATGGTATTAGTGATGATGTCATTAGACTTAGATTGTTTTCATTTTCTTTAAGAGACAAGGCAAAATGTGGTTAAATTATTTACCTTATGTTCTATTACCACATGGACTGAGTTGGCCTATAAATTTTGAGAAAGTATTTCCCATCTTCTAAGATTGTTAAGCTTAGAAATGTTATTACTTCTTCTACTCCGATGGAAGGAGAATCTTTTTGTGAGATTTGGAAGAGATTCAAGGAGATGCTTTGAAAATGCTAACAAAATGCCTTACTTGATTGGTTGGTAATTCAAACCTTTTACAAAAGATTGGTAGTATCCCTTAGAGCCATAATTAATGCTGCAGTCAGAGGTTCTTTGATGTTAAATCCTTTTTATGATGCTTATGAATTAATTGAAGAAATAACAACAAATAATTTTCAATGGTGTACTGATTAGGTGAATCTTAAGAGAGTGTGTTGAATTTATGAAAATGATGCTTTATCCATTTTGAATGCTCAGTTGTTATTATTCTAAGGAATTAGATGAATTGAAGGTTAATAGGTATTTTAGGAGATATAGTGTCGGTAAGCTAAGCCATGATACGTAGCGTCGCAGTGCTGCCCCATAGAATCTGAACAAATATATCATGAAAGGAATATGAAAGAATCATTAGGAAATATTGTTCTCCAATCAGGAATGCAAATGAATAATCAATCTAATGCTATTAAATAAATTGAATATCAAATTGGGCAATTGGCTAGGCTGATTTGTTATCAAAACTTAGTAGAACAATGTCATAATATTCAACTTAGTAGTGGGAAAGGGTTAGCAGACCCATATAAAGAGAAAAACCAACCCCAAGATAAGGATGTAAGAAAAGAATATCAAGAAAACCCCTCCTAAACAACTTGAACCTATTAAAGAACCCAAAAAGGTTTATAAAAAATTTGTTGATAGATCACCACCTCCTTTCCTGAGAGATTTGATCAAAAGAGTTCATGACAAATAGTTCACAATGTTATTAGAAGTGTTTAGTAAAATAACTATTAATATCCCCTTCTCTGAAGTTTTAAAATAAATGTCCACTTATGCTAAATTCATGAAGGATATTTTGAGTAAGAAAAGAAAAATTTGTGATTATGAAATAGTGGCCTACTGCATATATGATCAGTGCAGCTGATGTAAAATACCCCCTCCCCCCCTATGTATTACAATAGACATAATAATTCATGCAAACACATCATGCAACATCACAAGGCACGTTATGCCACAATAATGCATTGCATTTACATGCCAACATACTGCACATGCATGCATTACAATAGGAGAAATGTCATTCAAACATGTCATTCAGCATGCTAAATACATCAAACATATACACGTTGCAAAATAAAAGACACATCATGCATGCATGTTTTCTAATCTTTAAAATATATTGCGTAGAAACAGCACACTACGTTGGCATATAAATATACCAACTACAATGATAGTGCAGTAGGCCATTATATTATGTATCAATACACTATGCAATCAATATGCAAAATGCAATATTTAAAGTGCATATGTAAGTGTATACATGTATAGCCCCCAGCGAATGTGTACGGGTACACATGTGATGCCTGAAGATGTCATGCGAGTTAAATAATAAATCTATGTTCATGCCCGATCCTTCTTTGTAAGTACACAGGAGTCGACATAGCTTGAGCTATTAAACAAATATATGATAACAACGTCGACCGAGATATTTAATTTAATATATTTATATTAGGCCTTCAAGTCCTATAACCAAAAAAATTTACTAATAAAATTATACACCCGATAATGAACCAGATCCTCTGCATTTAAAACTTTATTTTTGTAACAATGTCTGATCCAACATTATCATCCTTATCCTAACGTAACTTACTAGAGAAAATAAGAAAAAAAAATTACATCAACATTATAAATAAGAAAATTTAGTATCCACTATTTGTTCCCCAATTTGATGGTTCTTGTTCATTAAATTATATTAAATTTATTTTAATTATATTTTTCTAGATTTCAAATTTCATTTAATTTTAACATCAATGCTATTGAACTTTAGATGACATAAAATTATGATAAAAATAGAAGTAGAAATAGGCTTTGTTTGGAATAGCTAGCTTTTCAGATGCTTTCATGGTAAGAAAAATATATATAACAAGGAAAAAATAATGTGTTTGCAAGACAGTATTTTCACCATTATTTAAAACTTCTATTGATAAAAGCTATTTTTGAAAAAGCATTTTAATACTTTACGTGGTAAAGGAACTTCTAAAAGCAATAATGGAAAAGTTTAAACTTCTCCAGATAAACCTATAATGGTGATATTCAAGTGCTTGTGGGAGCTAGAATTCAAAATTGAATATTTTAATTTAAAGCCAAGTACTAAAATTTGTTAATTTCATTTTAAGTTTTTAGGTTGATCAAGATAATCCTATTAATTTAAAAAAGCATCATTTTTTAAGGTTTGCTTATTGAGTGAATATACATAGTAATTCTACGATTTTGTACATACAAAAAATTGCTACCAAGTTTAGGATGCTAATCGATTGATTTGTAAGTTCTAAGATTTTTGGAAAAGTTTTCCCTGTAATGTTTGTATTGGTGAAGTATGCCTTCAGTATTATAAGATGTTTTATACTACAGTAAAATCATGAAGACTCAAAACTTACAAACTTACCCTTTTATATGAGATCAAGATCTTTAATTGTAGATGCCTCTCTAATAAACTTCTTGGAAGTCGAAAGCAACATTTTAAAGAAAGTTCCATTATCTACATACTTCTCATGAGGCTTTTTATTCAAAATAAGAACTAGCCTTGGAGTATAAGTATGACTTTAACATAATCAACATCATCCTTCACAACGTTAAAAGCACCTTAATGGAATTCAACATGAGCTAAAAATTAAGTGTAACTATCCTTCTATACCTACTTTAGCCACCCCTCATTGCAGTGAAAATAGGCATGTGATGAAATAAGATTTCACTCTACTTCCAATTTTAACTATTAAAAGGACATACTCTCCCTCTTATTACAACTTGATATGCCATGTAAATGCTTAGTTTAAGTTTAATTTCATATTTGTATATGTTATAAATCTATATAAACAAACTTCAAATATTATTATAAACTGTGAAATGAAATACATCATTATTGTTGCTTGCATGTGTATATATCACCAATGAATAATGACACCCAAAATTAATCGTATATGATAAATTATTGTAAAGTGATTCTAATGACTCTATGTTTAAGGTCTTTTAGCATAGTAAAATTGCATATCCAACTTTATTTAGATAGTGTCTTCAAATCATTAGAGCAAATATAATCTTCATTATGAATGCTACCACTACCAAGCAACACTTAAATTTTTATTTTATTTATGGATCTCACTATTCATAAATAACACACCTTGAGCTAGTCATCAAAAGCATTAAGACTAATTTCATGTATTGAATCCAAGATACCTTACAATGGATTTCTTTTTTCTTTGAGGAGTCTTCTATAGTTGACTGAAGTTTGCAGTTTTGATCATCAATATTGAGTAGCAAATATAAATTAAACACCAACATTTTCATCTCAATTGAAATATTATATCTTGTCATACTTATGCAATATTTCTATTAAAGATATTTTGCAGATATGTAAGTCCATCAAGTTTTTGGAATAAAATTATTTGATTAGGCCATTTTTGAAGTCAAATAATTCTAAAACATTTTTATCTATTCGAGGGAACAAATTTTGTTTTCACTTTGAACTAGAGGGAGTAAACCATGGCCGAGAATGTTAAGATCCTTTGTGTAGGTCTTACAATTTGGCTTCTTGCATTATTGCTAATTCCATGAAATTAAATGAAAAAAGAGGTTTAGCCTAGTGATCGTAGGTAAGCAACTTACTAAGTTTTATAAGAACAATAACATTTAAATTTTATATATTAGAAGAAGATACAATCAACAAACAAAATCACAATTTCGCTCAAACGAAGGGTCAAGAAAGACAGTAGCAAAAGAATGAGTGAGTTTGCAAAACTTATAATGTTTGATTTCAATGCATAAATACCATAAGTAGAATTTTTGGGCAAATATGGCAAAGAGGGTATTATTAGATTTATTATTTAACCATGGAGTTTCTCATAACTTGAAATACATTTGCATTCATTTATAATATATCGAACATTAATTGAAGTTAATAGGGCATTGGTCAACTTGTATAACTATAGTAATCAGTAGAACATTACGATACATTTACATTGTATCACTACACAAAATAGGTGTGTCAATTTCGGGTCACGGGTCAGGTTCGTGTCGAACTCGGAACTGACCCCACTACTAAAAAAGGGAAATTTTCACAGCATTTTTTAGCAGCAAATTAAATACCGCTGCTATAGAATTAATACCACCGCGGCCTTAATAAACCGCTTCGTGAATTTGAATAGGCGCGAAATGTAAAAAGCCGCAAAAAATTCAGAAATTAATAAGCCGAAATAAACCCTAGCTCTAATCTTCGCACCTCCGCGGCTTTTGATTCCCCCGCGCGCGATCGTCTCGTCCCTCCGCGCTACCGTCTCCTCCCTCCGTGCGACCATCTCCTCGATCCCGCGCGGCTGTCTCCTCCCCAGCCGCCGCCTCCCAACAGACTATATAGCCTACATCGTCGCCAAAGCAGTTGACGCCGACACGGAAGTATCTGCTTCCATTCTAACAAAAATTTCACTGGCATTTCGTCGACCTCGCGATCTTCTATGCGCGACCCTCCTCTCCAACATCGAAGCTGACGCCGAAGTCGACGTTGAAGCAGATACCGACACCGATGCCGACGCCGCTGCTTCGCCGCCGTTCTATCGTGATCTTTAAGCATACCTGAAATCAAAAAAACCTTGAGTAAGATTTATATTAGGCTTTTTCATTATGTTTTGTGTTGATCTTCTTGCTTTTTTATTTTCATTAGATCCATAACTGTAAATGGAGTTGAATTTCTCGTTGGTGTTATCAACTGTTTTTGGAACTGCATTGCCTGATTTTTGGCTTTGAATTTAAGGGTGGATTTAGTATGTTTGGATTTTCCTGTGTTTAACATTGTGGATTTGGTTGACTGGGGTTGGCGAATTTGAGTGATTTAAGTTGCTCTTAGATAAAGCTATCTCATATAAATCTGATTATCAAAAAGTTTGTGGATCTACTTTCAGAAATAGAGATTGGATTATTTTTTTTAATTCTTATTTTTATCTCCTGGACTAGCCTTAGGAAGAAAAATGGTTATCTTTGGCTT